GGAGGGACTTGGGGAGGATTTTGGGGGGTCTGGGAAGATTTTTGGGGGCTCTTTAGGGTTTGGGGGGGTCCCTGAGGTGGGTGGTGACCCCAAATCCCCTTCCCCACCCCAAAAAAAGCCCCCCCATGGCGGAGACGCTGCAGAAGAAGCTCCAAGGGGAGCTGGAGAAATATCAGCAGTTACAAAAAGGTAAAAAAAAAATTCCCAAAACAGCCCAAAAATCCTCCTGGGACCCCCAAAACCTCCCCAAAAACCTCTCAAATTCCACCTGGGACCCCAAAATCTCCCCCCAAAATAACCTTGGGACCCCTAAAGCTCCTCAAATGCCCCCAAAACCCCCTGGGATCCCTAAAATCTCCCCAAAATCCCCAAATCCCTCCCCTAAAACCTCTTGAGACCCCCCCCAAAATCCTCCCAGGAGCCCCCCAGACCCCTCAGGTTTTGGGGGGGGCTCTGGCCTGGTTTTGGGGTCCCCCCTGAGGCCAAATTTTGGGGTTCCCCCTCAGAGCTGGGCCGGGCGGTGGCGGCGAGGCAGAAACTGGAGACGCAGCTGACAGAAAACAACATCGTGCAGGAGGTGAGGGAACCCCCAAAAACTGCCCCAAAAATTCCTTAAAACTGCCCCAAAAAAATCCTGAAAATGCCCCAAAAATGCCCCAAAAATTCCTCAAAAATTCCTCAAAATTGTCCCAAAAAATCCTCAAAAAAAAGCCCAAAATAATCCTCAAAATCACCTCGGAAAATGGTAAAAATATTCCCCAAAACTGCCCCCAAAAGCATCAAAAAAAATCTCCCCAAATTGGCCCAAATATCCTCAAAAAATCTCCCAAAATTGTCCCAAAAAATCCTCAAAAAAATCATCTAAAACTGCCCCAAAAATCCTCAAAAAAAATCTCCCAAAATTGGCCCAAAAATCCCCTCAAACTGCCCCAAAAATCTCCCAAAACTGGCCCAAAAATCTTCCAAAAAATCTCCCAAAATTTCCCCAAAAATGCCTCAAACTGCCCCAAAAATCTCCCAAAATTGGCTCAAATATCCTCAAAAAAATCTCCCAAAATTGTCTCAAAAAATCCTCAAAAAAATCTCCCAAAATTTCCCCAAAAATGCCTCAAAATTGGCCCAAAAATCTTCCAAAAAATCTCCCAAAATTTCCCTAAAAATGCCTCAAACTGCCCCAAAAATCTCCCAAAATTGGCCCAAAAATCCCCTCAAACTGCCCCAAAAATCTCCCAAAATTGGCCCAAAAATCCTCAAAAAATCTCCCAAAATTTCCCTAAAAATGCCTCAAACTGCCCCAAAAATCCACCCAAAAATCTCCCAAAATTGGCCCAAATATCCTCAAAAAAATCTTCTAAAATTTCCCCAAAAATCTTCAAAAAAATCCCACAAAATTGGCTCAAAAATCCTCCAAAAAATCTCCCAAAATTGGCCCAAAAATGCCTCAAACTGCCCCAAAAATCCACCCAAAAATCTCCCAAAATTGGCTCAAATATCCTCAAAAAAATCTCCCAAAATTGACCCAAATATCCGTGAAAATCCCCCAAAAATCACTCAGAAACACCCCCAAAAATTCCCTAAAAATAACCCAAAAATCTCTCACAAATCCCCCAAAAATCCCTAAAAAATCCCAAAATTTAAAAGACTCCAAATCTCCCCAAAATTCTCTTTTTCCCCCTCAAAAATCACTTTTTCCCCCCTAAATTCCCAAATTTTCCTTCCAAAATCCTCTTTTTTTCACCCCAAATCCCTATTTTTTCACCCCAAATCTCTTTTATTCCCAAATCCCATTTTTTCTCCCCAAATCCCAATTTTTCCACCCAAAATCCCATTTTTTTCCCTTTCAAATCCAATTTTTTTTCCCCAAAATCCCATTTTTTTCCCCCTAAACCCAAATATTTAACCCAAAATCTCATTTTTTCTCCCCCAAATCCCATTTTTTCCCCCAAAATCCCATTTTTCCCCCAAAATCCCATTTTATCCCCTCATAATCCAATTTTTTTCCCTTTCAAATCCAATTTTTTTTCCCCAAAATCCCATTTTTTTTCCCCCAAATCCCAATTTTTTACCCAAAATCTCAT